TTTTGGAACGGGCCGTTCTGAATCCAGAACGGCCCGTTCTGAAACCAGAACGGCCCGTTTTGCTGCACTGGTGGTGTGTAATTTTCGCATCCGGAACGGCCCGTTTCAGTTGCAAAATTAACACACGAAGAGTGCAACCAGAACGGCTCGTTCTGGTTTCAGAACGGGCCGTTTTGGGTCCAGGTGTTTTCAAAAAAATGTCATCCACGTGGCATCCACGTATGCATCTATGTGGCATCCACGTGTCCAAAAGTTAACTCCGTTTAAATAATTTGGACGGAAGTCCCACATTGAAACCAATTAATTAATTTGGGACTAAATTGAAAGCAATTAATTAATTTGGGACCAAATTGAGACCAAAAATAAAAGTGGGACTACATTAAAACAAAAAAAGATTATAAAGGACCAAAATAGGGTTTTAGCCTTTTTTATTTTTTCTTAAGAACATAATAATTTAACCTTTATTGTGTGTTGATAACAGGTAACAAATTTCTGGGTCGGGGACACTAAATGGGTTCGGTTCAGTTCTGAAGCAAGACTATAAATTGAAGGTTCATGATATATACACCTCTTTTTTTCTATAAATACACCTCCTTTTAAAAAATATAATTAAAATATTAAAATATTTTTAATTTTTTGTTTTAAATTTTTTAATTTTACATCCACAACATTTAATTTAGTACTTTTTTTTTCACACATCTTTCCTCCTTTTTTCAATTTTTACATGCACCCCCTTATTTTTCCTTCACCCCACCTATTTTGGTTACATGTGAAAATTAAAAGAGAAAAAAAAAAGTGTGTGAATAAGAAGAAGAAAGTAGCAAATTGAAAGTTAAAAGTTGAAAGTGTAAAATTAATTTTTTTTAAAAAAATTATAATATTTTATAACTTTTTTAAAAAAGGAAGTATACTTATAAAAAAAGGAAATGTATATATCATGAACCTAAATTAAAAAGGAAATGTATATATCATGAACCTAAATTGAATGTTTAGTAGCCCAACCCACTAACTGGGGGGTCCAACACCATATGCCTCTCGGCCTGCCACTTTTTACTTGTTCAGTACGAAAGAAACCGAACATGGCCCATCAATCTAATTCATTCTCCCAATCCACAACATCTAAATCTAAGTAAATAGAAAATCTAGGACACTATGCACTTTTTTTTTAATTCTTTTTTTCTTTATACATAGAAAAGGAAACTTCATATAAAGAAATGGTTCAGCCGCACGAGCTAGTTCGGCTGCCAAAAGACAATTGTCTCGAAATAATTGGACCAATTTAGCCCAACTTCACAAGTCAATCCACAAAAGTTGAACCAACAATTTTTTAGGTTCAAAACTAGTTTGATCTAATATTATTATTTTTTTATTTATAAAATTTATATAAACTAGATTAATTTAGCCTAAGTCAATAGGTGAAGTTAGACCACAAAATAAGAAATCTGTAAGCAATTCAGACAGAATGAAATTAATCCACTTATAAATATTGTTTTGATTTATTTGACGACTCTAATTATATTTATTATTATTTTTATTCATTGATAACTCATTAAGTAATGTTCATGCTAGACTTTAAAGTTTTAACGGATAACCCCATCCAGAACACGTCGCAGATGAAGGATCAAATAATTCATTCATGCAACTATTGTAATAAAAAATTAACAAAAATAGTTATATACATTTTAATATTAATTTGTGAATTACAAAAATCTAAATGAGTTTAATGCAATTTTATGTTATTGCGTATATTTTACGCATGATAATTAGTCCTTCCAGTTACTGAATTTTATGAACAGGTTGTACCTGTCTTAGAACATTATATATTGTGAGTGTCTACAATCTACATAACATTCATAATTATTATACAGGATAAGGCACACACATTTATATTTTTGCAAAACAAAAGCATGATATTACAAACAAGGTCACATTCTCCCATATGCCAAGTATGCATGCGCAAGATCGTCAAAGATATTGTTACAAAAATCCTTCGTTCTTGACCAATAGTAATATATTCTTCTAGTTTTTAAATAGAATTATAAGACTATAAAAAAAAAAAAATATATTTTTGTATTATATTATCAATATAAAATATTCACTAGTTTTATAACAAAAGAAAAAAAAAGGATATCTAAGCACTCATTTGCACTAAAACATGAGTAGTGGATTTGAGTAAGGCCTACCAGAAGAAGGAAGCTTCCATCTTGAAGAACATGAACATATAAAAACTCCAAAATTAAATTGCATAGCCTAATAAATTTAAAAATATAGAAGGCCCACAACCATACTTCTCTTCTGCAATGGATAGATGAAACATAGAAGATAGAGAGGACAGTGAAGACCAGCACGTGCAAGTGCCAAACGTCTTCTTTTGTTTTGCAAACTCTATTAATTAATACACAATTATTCTATAATTTTATAATTTTCAAAATAATGTAACCCATATTAGAACAACACAAATTAACACATTTTAAAAGATTGGGTGTATTCATATTAGACCAATAGAATCAAATTTTGTTCATCTGATGCAAATCAGTCTTTAATTATTAATTTTTTAAAAATATTTTTTTATAATGCTCTGAAAAAAAAATTAGATGATTCTAGTAAGTGTTGCTCACTCCTGCCAACAACCTAGGCTCCTCCTTTTTTTGGTCACCACTCCTTGAATGTCTTCGCGTCATGTCAATGACTTTTTTTAAACGAAAAGAATGGATAAGAAATTCAAATTTTCATTATAAGTTATGATAAAAATTTATGAAAACAATATTTTTAATTTTACTTCTTCACAATTGTAATAATAGTTTGTATTTAAAACAGTGCCATATATTTTGCATTATCCCATGAAATTTAACTAAAACCAAAAACAAATCCGTATTTAATATTGTTCTTTCTCGCCTCTTTCCGCCCGCTCCTTTCTTTGTCCCCTTCAGCATTATCTTCTATCCAAAATTCTCAACTTTTATGATAACTTAATATATAAAATAAATTTAAACTTATCATTTAGAAATTTTTTAAAATTTTGTTATGTAAAATTTGATATATTGTTAGGTAGTTTCGAGTAGAAGAAAGTTTAAAACAATATAACCAATTTAATTTTGTGAGGATTTTAAGGGGAACAAAATAAGAATTTAATAATTCTAGAAGAAAAATGATAAAGGAAAAAAAAAATAAACATTGACCAACTCTATACAACTTTAAAAGACCGAAATTTCACATAATCTAAACTTAAAAAACCGAAACAATTAAACCTTTCATTTTTAAAAAAAATCCATTTCATGATTAATCTATGTTTGTAAACCATCCACTTGCATGTCGAAAAAGTAAATAAATGATCCAATTGTTGAGACGAGTGACCACCAGTACTGTGGCAACAACCTAGCTCAACTATTTTATTTTATTTTCCTTCCAAAAACCATCATGAAAGCTTACTTTGCATATTCTTATGTGTGAATGCAAGCCACTAATATCCAGCTGTACTTTGCATTTGCATTTGCATTTGCACACTTATCAAATTTACTGTACATTTTTATTATTATTTTAAAATGATAAAACGACAATGTAATTTATGGTAATGCATACATACAAGCAACACAAGGAATAGAGTGTGAATATTAAGATTTGAAAGGTTGGTTAGTAATTTGATTGGAATTCCAGCGGATACATGTAAAATATTTGAAGATATTAGGTATATTAAAAGGATGAAAGGTTGGTTATTTGTTAAATATGAGTGGTTTTATTGTTAATGTAGGTTATGAAGATGCGATGGCATGAGCGTAAAGGGAAAGGTTTGGCGAGTGGATATAATTAATTTCCAACGAGATAACACATGAAGGAGCACTGGGTAACCTAAATTAAAGTGTTGAGGTTGGAACAACCAAGATTGCCACGTGTCGCGAAATAAGGATTAGGGAGCAGTGAGGGTGGAAGCAGTGGATCGGCTCCAATAAATTATGGGTGGGTTTGTGCAGGCAATGGCAATGGCATTACTAAAATAAGATTTAATCATAAAAAGGCTGGATCCGATTCACGCCAAGCCATTCCGGTCCCGGAGTTACTTTTTCACGGTGCTGCTGCTGCTGCCGCTGCCGCTGCCGGAGACTCTGCGCCGGAGTATTACTTTCCCCTAACCACTGCGTTTCATGCTTCGCTTCTTCCTCTTCTTTATGGATCTGCCTTCTGCAACTTTCTTCCTTTTTCGCTTCCGTTTTTCAGGTCTTTCTTTTTTATTTTAAAACCCCTAATTTATTTTAAAAATAACAAATTTATGCTTCCGCATTCTGCATTCCGCTTTATAGATCGCTGAGCTTTTTGACACCGAGTTTGCAGTGAAGTCTTGCCTTTTTTTATTTTTGGGGGGAGGAACAAAATTTAGGTTATTCCTTAGTTTTTGTTACTTTAATTTATTGGCCTTGTCAGGAATTAGGGTAAGGGTTATTTATGGCTTAGGAATGATTAATGAATGTGTTTCAACTTTTACGCTGGGGTTTGATGAGTTATGGTTTCAATGTGTTGGATGTAGAGGTACTGTACTTGTGCATGCTGTGTTGAGACTCGAGAGCTAGTGTTGGTGTATCTGAAGAATTGGAAGAGGTGACATTGTGATACATATGCAAGTTTTGTGACCCTCTGTTTGGGTGGTTGAAGATTCTTTGTGGTGGGAGGAAGGTTGGTGTGGTTTGGGAAAATGTCGTTCAAAAGCATAGTGAGAGAATTGAAGGAGATGAGGGATGGGATTGGTAGCATTTCGAGGCGAGGTGTGGATAGCAGGCGTTGGAATGGTAGGACAAAGTCACATGTTGCTCCTGATATTACTCTAACTTCGCTTGAGCCTATTGAGCAGGGGAAGTGGGCGAATTTGCCGCCGGAATTGCTTCTCGACATAATTAGTAGGGTGGAAGAGAGTGAGACTACCTGGCCTGCGCGTGCTGTTGTTGTTTACTGCGGTTCGGTTTGTAAATCGTGGAGGGCCGTTACGAAAGAGATTGTAACGACTCCTGAACAATGTGGAAGGCTCACATTTCCAATTTCGTTGAAGCAGGTGATAAATTCTTCACCCCTTGTGTGGCCCAATATTTTCTTTCTTTATTTGCTTTTGGGATTTTTTGTTATTTATGTTACGTTTCTCTTGTGTGTATCATAGCCTGGTCCCCGTGATTCTCCAATACAGTGCTTTATTAGGAGGAACAGAGAAACTTCTACATATATATTGTACATTGGCCTGGTTCCGTGTAAGTTTGTTACTTTCCTTGCTGAAACTGCTATTTCGTTTTCATAGAAAAGGGATGTCAGTTTTTTCATTTTAAAATTACTCTTCAAAACTTGGAATGGACGACATTGAATGTTGAACTGCAAGTTTCTTGCTCTAGATATGTTGGATTATTTATGTATTATTAAAGTCATTTACACACAATGGTCATGATTATCTTTGGAACTTTGTTTTCAAATGGATTACTTGGTATTCACACACGTTGGGGAGCAGAATATATAAAAGCTATTTGAATTGGAGGAAAATGGATAATTTGGATTTACCAAAATCCAACTTTTGTTCTTGAAATGATGTTTAAGAAGTTCTATTGTTTTGCTGTTAATTATGCAGCGGAGAATGAGAACGATAAATTGTTATTAGCTGCCAAAAAGATTAGAAGGGCAACAGGCACAGACTTCATCATATCTTTGGTTGCAAATGATTTTTCTCGGTCCAGCAACACATGTGTTGGAAAACTCAGGCAAGTTTTGGTTAATAGCAACTTGCTTTTTATTTTTATTATTATTTTTGTTTTCATCATGTTCCTTACGGTATCTGCAACTTGATGACAAATTTGACAGGTCTAATTTTTTGGGTACCAAGTTCACTATTTATGACAATCAAGCCCCAAACGGAGCTGGAATTCAAACAGATAGTCGGTCTAGTAGGAGATTTCATTCTAAGCAGATATCTTCAAGAGTTCCAGCTTGTAACCATGTTGTTAGCACCATTGCCTATGAGTTGAATGTTCTTCGTGCGAGAGGACCAAGGAGAATGCACTGCACCATGAACTCCATACCCGTCTCAGCTATTCAGGAAGGAGGCAATGCTCCAACTCCAACATCTTTCCCTCAAATCATTGATGAGCCTTTTTCTCCCTCGCCAACACTGAAAGGAAAAAGTCCAATCGGAGATTTAAACATCGCAAGCCTCCCAGAGCTACCAGTACAGAGCCAAGGCTCAGCCGAGCCTCTGGTACTTAAAAACAAGGCTCCTAGATGGCACGAGCAACTGCAATGCTGGTGCCTAAACTTCAAGGGTCGTGTTACAGTGGCTTCTGTTAAAAACTTTCAACTTGTGGCTGCTGTTGATCCATCTCACAATGTTTCTGCTGCAGAGCAAGAAAAGGTAATCTTGCAGTTTGGAAAGATTGGAAAAGACATTTTTACCATGGATTACCGTTATCCACTCTCTGCCTTCCAAGCCTTTACCATATGCTTGAGCAGCTTTGATACCAAACCAGCCTGTGAATGAATTCAATGGCAATTGATCATCTGCTGAAGCAGCTTTGATACTAAACCAGCCTGTGCACGAGACCAATGGCACTGGATGGATCATCTGCTGGTTCATGTCATATATATAAATGCTAAGCACAGTTCATCAGGCATGGTGGACATGCAACTGACATATTAGTTATGCAGTCACTAGTATTTTCCCTTGTGATGTTAGATGTTGAGTCTGGGATTTAACATTATGCTGTTTCATAGCTCTGCAACTAAAAGTAAATTTAGTGAATCTTCAATTTTATGCATATAAAGTCGCATGGTATTTCTCAGTTCTCACCAAAATATTTTTTTTCCAATACTGAATTTTCACATGTATTGTTTTCTCATTGTTATGTTCCTTAGACGATCACTAGTTGTCATCCAACTATAAAGGTGACTTTATATATACGTGTTTGGTCAGACCTAAATATCATTTTTATTACTTTTTCAACCGGTATTTCCTTGGTAGTTATAGCTAATCAATTGAATCCTGGATTGTAGTTTTGGTTGGTCTGTGTATTGTGTTTCTAGTTTCTGTTGCAAATAAATTTTAGGACGCCATCTTGACGGGTTTATAAACAATACTAACGAGACTAAATTTTCCTCCCAAAACCTTCAACAATAGCCTTTTTTGGGTAGGAAAAGAAGTCCTTTTTAGTGCAAGTTTTATAAATTGATGCAGTTGAAGGTGTTTACATTACTGCTGATGAGAATACTGAATAGGCTAATAAAATTATAAGCTAGTTGAGAAGGTGCAAAAACAATCGGCAACAATATTAAAGATTAAATTATTTTTGTATTTGTTTTCTTATGATGGGATGGGATGTTGTTATTATATCATCCTTTTTTTTTTGTAATTTAAGGTGAAAATTGATTTTTTTTAACGGTTTAGGTTTGAGTAGTGATATTCATCTATCTGATTTTGGGGTGGATTCGAATGGAAATAAGAGAAGTAGAGAGGAAAATAAATGTAGAGAGAAATTAGTAGAGATAATAAGTAATGTGATGAAAAAAAGAAGTTAGAGAAAGTAGGTGAGTGAAAAGAGTTATTGAAATCACGAGTGAGTGCACCGTGTGTATTATTAATGTAGTCATTATAGCGCTTGAATGCGGTGAGTCGCAGGAAAATCAACCAAACGCTACCATGACTTAATTTCACAGAATGTGGCTGTTTCTAATGGTTGAAAATTATGAAACCCCATGCATGTGTAGGAGTGAGCATTAAACCCAAATATTGCTTTTGGGTGAGTTCGGGCGGGTCTTATGAGTAAATCGGGTTAAAATTTTGATTTTATACGTGTTATATTGGGCGGGTTCGGTTTTGAATTTTTAAACCCGCTAAAAACCGAATCCAACCAAAAATGAGATAAGTTTAAATTTTTATTACTTTTGTATAACTAAACAACAATGGTCCAAACTTAAAATTTTTTATTTCAAGTATAATATAACCATCAATTTGTAATTTATTTTTTTCCTTTTTCTCATAACTTAGATATTTATTTTGTCTTCTCCTTCCTCATTCAACTTCTCAACACACTAGTCCATTTTTAGAGTTATCTTTTTGTTTCTTTCTGTTTTTCTTTTCCATCTTCTTATCTTCATTTTGAGTACAACTTGTGCGACTGTGATTTCTTATGAGTTTTGTAATCTAACTTTAGATTTCTTTTGCATGTAACAACTATGAATTTTGTTATCTTTTATTTTTGTTTCTTTAGTTTGTAAATATTTCATCTATGAATCTACTTATACCATCTATTGTCACCTTCATTCTATTTTTATACACTATTTTAAAAATATTTTTTTATTGTTTTAAGCTTCATCTTCGTTAAGATAAATTGGTCTACAAAAAAATTCAAACCTGATTGTACCCACTCGCTCAAATCCGAATCCATTTCAACCCCGAACCGCCTCAAATCGAAAGCTCAGTCAGTCGGATATGGGTTACATTTTTCAAAGTCAGTTTACAACGAGTTGAACATTTTTCACCCGAACCCGACCAAACCCACCCATTGCTCACCCCTATGCATGTGTAATGTTTTGGTATTGGTGTTTTTGGGCTCCGCTAGAATGTAAAAGTGCACGATAAATTATAATGGCTTAAATATGTTTAAATTAGGCCGATTTTCATATTATTACTTATTAACTTATTTTTATTTATAAATATTTGACTTTTTTTTTTTAATTTAGTACTTAATATTAGTCTCTCTCTGTTAAGTGATGATGTAATTGACAGACTGTCACGTCATCACCCAACAGTATCTGTCACATCATCTAAAGGACTACTATGTGGACATTTAGATGACGTGATAAACACTATTGGGTGATGACATGGTAATTTGTCAGCCACATCATCACTTAATAGAGGGGAACTAACGTTAGGTATTAAATTGAAAAAAAAAAATTAGTTAGGTATTTAAAATAAAAATAATAAATTAATAAATAATAATATAAAAATCGGCCTAATTGAAGGTAGTTTGAACATATTTAAGCCGTACTTGAAAATTTTTCCGAAAGTATCTTAATTCATGGCACAATATAAAACATTTGTTACTTTTGCTTCTAGTTACAAGTGTTTCATGTCTTCTTCATCGTATTCATCTTCACTTTTCTCCACTTCTTTATTGTCCACTATCTTTGTTGGAATTTTTGGTCCATTTTTTTATGACAAACCAAAGTTTGAAGTCGACGGATTATATGAATATTCGCATATGCTCCTTCCACCTAGTGTAATTTATGCCATCGAAATATGGTGGCCTCAAAATAGGTTGTCCTTCAATGACGATTTTCAGATTACTACCTCTAATTAGATTAATTTTCAGATTATTATCTCCAATTAGATCGATTTTTAGATTACTATCTATTAATTTATTTTTTGTTTTTAATACCTGACTAATTTTTTTTCAATTTAGTACTTGATGTTGATCCCCCTCTGTTAAGTGATGTCACCAAACAGTATCTGTCGCGTCATCTAAATGTCCACGTGACAGTCCTTTAGATGATGTGGCAGACACTGTTGGTGATGATGTGACAGTCTGTTAGCCACATCATCACTTAATGGAGGGAGACTAACGATAGGTACTAAATTGAAGAAAAAAAATTAGTTAGGTATTTAAAATAAAAAAATTTAACAAGTAATAATCTAAAAATCAGCCTAATTGGAAATAGTTTGAGATATTTAAGTCAATTATAATTATAATTGTCATACATTTTCAGGTAGCAACCGTTGTCTGGCTCTGTTTCAAGTTGGAGGCTACTCTGCCTTATGACCAAGTCATCAAACATTTAACAATACTTGCTATTAAACAAAGAAAAAAGGGTTAAAATATTACCAAAACCTTCACTACACTAACATCTATTTTACAGCAGTACTCAAAAGTACCGAGTATTAAATATTTATATATACACAATAACAATAAAAAAAGAAATGTGTAATTGGTCTCTCTAGTATGTCTACTATCTTAACAATTAACAAGTCCTAAATCTCAAAAAGAATAATGCATCATAATAAGCACAACTATACATCATCATACTACCTGCTGTTACAGTACAAAATTAAGTAGCAGATGCTTTGGGAATGAATCTTTAAAGCTAAAAAAGCCGCAAATAAGTGCTAGAAAGGCAAAACCCCGCACATGGAACTCATCTTTTGGTTTTTGGTGCATGTGAGCTAGACTTTGAGAACAATGGTAGTTTCTTCAGAAACGATCTCTTTGACGGTTTATTTTCTTCAGTGCGACTGTTGGAATCTCGAGAAGTGTTGTTGATATTTGGTTCAGGGCAATCTTCATTCTCAACAACATTCTTAACATCTCCCAAAAGATTGAGCAATTCTGATGCACTTTCTTTTCCTTTATCATTTCCATTCTGGGAGATGTAGCAAAGAGTAATGATATTGATATCCCCATCCATTACCAACTTACAATAATCCACGTGTTGAGAGCATAAAGAAACTAGAACAGCCAGTGCATGTTCTTGTTCCTCATTATTGCCTGTTTCAAGTATTTCCGCAACTGAAGATATGCATCCCTTTGTATCAGCAACAGCATTCCTACCCTCTTCGGTATCACAAAGATTTTTCAATATATATATGGAGTATCTCAAAAGGGTCCTGTCTTTGAAAAATGACAGCAATTTTGGGATGCACTCGAGAGATAGCATGCGGAGACAAACTTCACCACTGAAGGACAAATTGTACAGTATTCTAATAGCTTGTTGTTGGAAACCTTTGTTATCAGAATTAAGTGTGTTTAAAATAGAAGTGAGAGCACTGGATGCTGCAATTTTAGCTTTACTAAAACCATATCCTGACAGTTCTTCCATTATGGCAAGAGTTTCTCCTATCACTTCTGAATCAAGAAATCTTGCCAACATGATGAACGTATCTTCATTCAAATTAGTCTTACCATTTCTGCATGAAAATCACAAAAAAAGGGTCATTCTAATATCAATAGCAGGTGCACAGATAAAGCGATCAAACAATTTTAGTTCAGGATGAAGGAGTAAGACCCACTAAATATGTTAACAAACTCAAAATATTTAAATTGGATCAACTAAAACAATATATCAGATAGAGAACCAGAAGGTTACTTGAAAATTAGAAATACCACACTTACAAGTAAATTTACTTGGTCAAAACTCACCAGGAAAAAAGACATTAGAGAAAAGGGAAGCAAACCAAAACATTTAGCAATATACAAAGAACAAAATTGAGAAAGGGGAAAAGAAATCATGCCTGCAGTTGTTGACAAATTCCAACAGAAGCTGAGTTCCACCTCTCAGCGCCCTAACGTCACCAAGATCATATGCATTGCTCAAAAATCTGACAAGTGGTTCAATGAAATTCTCTGCTGATACAGAAACAAAAGCTTGGCTATTGCTTTTCAAATGATCCTTCAGATCTTGAATGACCTTGCATTGAGAATCCCACTGAAGATCACAGAGCTGAGGCAAGAGCATCAAATCAGTATCATGTATCTCTGTATGAGCTCGATGTTTGAGAGAATTGTCACTGGTCTTGATCGACATCAAATTTGAGCCACGAGTGCTCTTACCATGTGAGCCATCTGAACCAAAACTAGTATCCAATGACCCAAGTGACATGTTAGTAAGATCCACTGGCGAGTTGAAATCATTGAAATAACTTCCTAAACTATTGATGGAAGTGTTTGAAGCTTCCCAAGAGCGAATATCCTCAGCTAGCCTGCTAGGGTCTGGAACGGAGACTGCGTTATCTATGCACCACTTTGATATTAAGCCCTTCATGTTCATGTTTGGAGTCAAGGCCATATGGACTAGTTTCTTTCTGGTTTTGGGGCATATGTCATTACCCTCATCAAACCACTTTTTTATCCACATCCTTTCATATGTTACTCCTGAATCAATGATAACAGGATCATACATCAACCTTGAGGATATTGGGCACTTAAATTCCTCAGGGAGTGTAACTCCACCCAACTCACTTGTGTGAGTTCTATACTGATCATAGTTCAAGGTTGGGTCTGATTCAACAAGATGGCTTCTTAGAGACTCTTGACTAGAGTTTTCTGTTGTAACTTGATCTTCAGAACGAGAATAGACCTCCACCCGTTCTCCCACCATGAGTTTTCCATGCTTTTTCAGTAGATGCAGAAGGTATCTGAGTATCTTCTTCTTTGTGAGGTCAGTTGGTCCAATTTTATCTAGTAAATTTTTAATGGATCTTTGCTCTGTTAAGATTGCCTTCTGGGATGTTATATTCAGTCGAGGTGCTACAAACTGAAGAGCTCTAGCTTCAGAATCATCAATTGAATCTTTGGTCAAAGTAAGCAACTCTCTCACAACCCTCCCAGCCTCTTCTTCATCAGGGTCCAGAACAAATGTTGTACTCTCAAGTTCATCAATTATGTAAGAAACCTGAAAGTCACATTTCAGTGTCAACTAGATTATTAAAATGAAGTTCCATTTGAATTGGATATGTTACGCAACAAAAAGATAGACTTCAGAAGAGGCTAGTTAATATGCTTGTTGTTTTTAATAAACAAACGACCATTTTATTTGACAGTATGATGATCCAGTTAAAGAAATATAATAATTCAATAGCATCAGGAAGGAAATGAATAGAGATTATAACTTGACTAACCTCTACAGCCAACGTAAAAGGAACCATATTCTGAATTTGGATCAAGCTTTTCTCTAATGATCTTGTTGCCTTTAGGCATCTTGAGAGTATTGTATCCCCTGTCACAGCCTGAAAATAATATTGAAACCAACGAAACTATCATCACTATCATGCAATCTGCAAGTATAATCCACTGATAAGTGATTAGATCATACGCATATTTAGTCTTTCATAACTTTCTTAAGCTTGGGAGGAAGATCGCACATGATACAAGGGGTTAACAACACTCACGTACAGCTAATATCGTAGATTTAGTTTGTAATCGATAGTTGACCTATACAAAGACTCACAATCATGTTGTACTAATACTTTCTGATTCAATCAAATAGCACTTTCCATCTCTATTGGTTTCTCTCATTTCTCTCTCATGTGAAATCATGTTTACTAACAACTAATTGACCTCAACTTGTTTTAGATATTATAGATGAAGAGCACACAGAAAACTATATAATTTATTTCTTTTTCAATAAAAGGACTAACTACACACCAGGTAGAGTTTGCTGCATTCTGAGCAATGTTGCAGTAGTAGTTTGGCTTTAGCAATTGCATTGTTCAGCAAACACAGAGACTCTATTCCTGATGAGCATCGTGGCCGTGCCGCTTCTATGTCTGGAAATATTCTTGAGATTCTATCCACTAATTTCTTCAGTTCTAAGCAAATTTTACTATGCACCTGTTAATATGAATTCAGATTAATAGATTGGTTAGTTGTGAATCTTGATCCAATATAATTGGATATAAATAAGTACCACTGATTTCATACCCTTTTATTTTTCTTTCAAGAAAACTCAACATAATTGGTATTGAAAGTAGAAGATCTCAAAAACATTCTCAGTAAACACTAGCGAAATTGAATTATATGTTCATGTACCTTGAAGGAGAGGAGATTTTGTAACGTGTCCCCGTCACCAATATCTGTTCTCATTAGAAGAGTGTCCTAGAGCTACACATTAGATACGGAAGAAAATTAAGCAAGCTAGTCAATACAAAATTATTCATACTACTTCAAATAATACCTAATAATGTAAAATATCAAGCTTATGCTATTTCATGCTTCCAACGTTAAATACATCATAAAATGTGATTGTGATATTATTTTATGATTTTAATCTTTCTAAATACATGACATGTATTTAATTTAATCACATCATGAAACATCTCAAAATGATTATTGACATATTCATGAGTAAAATACATGTTATGTTGAAAGTGACGACAAAATCCATTTTAAATTTTTTTTAAAGATTTGAGAGGATTAAAACTAATGACTTTTTTTTGAAGAATTAAAAACTAAATGCATAAAACTATATTTATAAAAATTAACCTTAAAGTACAATTGCGCTTATTACTCTAGAAATGTACAATTGATTTTTATAAAATTAATTTTAAACCATTGAAAGTAATTGAGACGCATAAGCATAACTAAATCAATTTCACCATAAATTTTATGTTAGATTATATGTATAGTTTGGAAAATTAATTTTTGGTATAAAATAATATGCCCTAAATCTAAACTGAAATGCTAGAAGTTGTGCTTTATCGTGCCGTCCAAATTGTTCAAACTAATCAATCTAAGTGAGTCGAAGAAGTGAACATTCAAGTAGCAATTATAATACAACTGAAAAGCTGCAATTAAAATTAAACGTGAAAAAGAGCTCTAAATGAACACAAAATTTTATTGATTTTCATCTCTCAGAAAATATTAAAATACTGATGAACTTGAGTTAGGAGCAGCCCACCCGTTTACCACATCAACAGAGCAACAAAATAACCAGTTCTAAGGACTGGATAACCGAGGATTTGATCTTCTCATATATTAGTTTTTTTTATATATAGTAATTATATTTACTATTTAGACATTTCTATAGTACAAATATTTACTTTTTTCAATAGAAATTACAACAAAATAAATCAAGTTCAAATATAAAATCATGTAGATATTATTTCAATTTTTTGTCATGAAACTGATTCTAATAATTTAAAACACAAACACTTTACTGACGCTTATTATTTTTTATCATATCATATCATATTATATTATGTCAGACATGAGATATACCTATACGTTTTCCGTAGATATATATATATATATATATATATAT